GGGCAGTATAGTATGTGCCTGCGTGCTGGGCAGCACTGCTTAGTCATGGGACTTTTCCGAACCGCATTACGTCAGCTGCGAGAAACGACGCACCGCCTGCACCTGGTCTTTACCACAGTACTGGGATTGTCCTCAGCAACGCCCTGAAAGTGCGCTAACCCCACCCCCCTCTCAGTGGCGTGTGTGGCTGGTCTGTGGCGCACGGCCCTGCCCGACAACCTCCTCCTGTCTTGCTTCGTGCATAACGCCGCCACGCATCACCAACGCCAGCTCCGACGGCCGCCTCGAACCCCCCGTCCGATTGATAGCCTACAAGCAGAGGCGGTTTCATAGCTTGCTGTTCCCAGTCCGCTACTACGCAACGGCCACTGACACCAATGCCACATACCAAGAGTTGCCAACAGTGTCCAGGCAAGACAACACCATCCTTTTGCATTCCACAGACACCACGTGCGGCTCTGTTTGCGCCTTGTTCCATGACTTTGCGATAAGTCTTGACGTGACCTCCGTGGCCGTTAGGAGATTAACCCCGCGGGGATATATTCATTCCACAGCGGGCGGCGAGGAAGCGGACGCCCTCTACGGCAACCAATCGTGTCGACGGTGACGGCGCATGTGATGACAAGGTAGCCGCTGGTGGCCGGAGACGTGACTCATCCGCTGCTCTTCGTTTTGAGATATCTTTTGGGAAGTCACTAGGCCATCACCGAGCACGGAGTGTTGGAGGCACATGCCGCCCCACAGCGATGCCGACCCAGCGCAAAGCCCCCATGGCTGGGTCGGTGGATGGCGGACCTGCACTCAACTGTTTGATGGCGGTACCAAACCTGCTGTATAGGCCGTGAAGAACGACAGCCTGCTCTTCGTTCTGAGGAATCTTTTGGGAAGTCGCTAGGCCACCAATCATCAGGCATGACCACCGCGAAGTCCATTGGTATTCCTACATTGCAGACAGGAGAGGCTTTCTTGGCCTTCATAGACGGTCTGTTGAAGGTCCTTGGCCAGCCATGCCGCCGTGAGATACACCAAACGACCCGCTCGCCCTACAAACATTGCTACAAAGGTGTTAACCCTCGTCCTTGTCCCGTCATACTGAAAGCATGCTCTTCCCCTGGCTGTTGGTACCGAAGTTCTTCCGCGCTGCCGCATGGGATGAAACGGCATCCATGTCCTCTGACAAACCCCCACAAGACCACAAGTGTTGCGTGCTAAAGGTCAAATACGCCAAGATCAAAGCCCTTGATCATGCCAAGTCGGTTCTCTTTGAACCTTTCTGGGGATAACTCGAGGCGGCTCACCTCTGTCTGCGATGCACAGACGGTTCTTTGTGGTTCTTCCGATAAATCAGCTGGACATACGCAACCCACTGTGGCTCAACGCACTGAGACATTTTTTTTAGCTTCCGCCCTTGTTCCTACTCAAGAAGGGGAACACGACAACCCAACGTTAGACAATAGATGCCCACGCTATTTTCACGGATATGCCGTTTAGGCGGGTTAGCAGCAGGGGATTTCTCAGAGATTACGTAGTCTGACGTGCTTGCAGTCTGCCCTCGATGCCGCCGGGCGCAAGAGATAATGCTCCAAAATGCAGCACCATCACCGAAGTGCTTTGGAAATGTCTTGTGCTTGGAGGAGTCCAAGTGGTCAGATTAATGACTGATTAAAGATGAAGGATGTAGGGGTACTGAGGAGGTTTGCGGGGGCTAAAAGAGGTGAAAGCATCGCCGCGAATCTCATCTGTTAGAGACTGAGCTCGGGGACCTATTGATGCCGCTGTAATAAACTGACAAAATAAAAGCCACGTGGCCTTTTTATATCACCTCGCTCTCTTGTTTGTTGGAGACATACACACATAAGCATTGCGACAGAGACGCGGCCCAAGCCCGCTCCAGCTCCTTAGGTGTTTGAAGCGGATGTGCCTGGCTTGCAGAATCACGCCCACAATTTCCCAAAGATGATTTTGGTCTGTGGTGGTCTGGGCTGGAAAGCGCCAGTGCTACAGGGTGATGTCAGTTAATGTAAATGCGAGACGTAAGAGAGCCCGGGAGAGAGATTTCTACCTCGCAAATGCGGCTTGCTCATCAGGACATTACATGTCGATGATGAAGACGGCGCAAACTCGTAAACGGCAACTGCAAATCTGGCTGAACCCGACGTTTCACCACTTCCACTACGTCGGCGGTGACCCGCGGAAAGCCGAGTTCGCTCAAGATACACTGTCTGTAGCTGGCCGAGAGCTTCTCGGAGAGACACAAGTCGGGCTGGTTCAGCAATTGCGTGGGGCTCTCAATATTTGCAGACTCGCCGTCGGATAACGCACCAAGGCGGTATTGAATTGTGAGGAAATGGGGTGAATTGTTGTCAGCGAGGGCCCGGAAGCTTTGAGAGTACCAGAAGGCGCTCATAAGAAGATCTAAAACAACGTGAGGGACGTATTGGTGGATGCGTGTCTCTCCCATCTCAAATGATGTCGCAGTAGTCGCATATTCATAGCCAGAACACGAAACCGCATCAATAGCTTGGAGAAAGGATCCAAGGCTTACTTCACCCAACCGCTGGTTGCAGCAGACAGGCTTTCAAGGAGGATATCAACCACATAAGACATCTGCACTGTGTTGCTTACAGGAAACGTGCAGCCGACTGGGACGGAAGGCGGAGGTGTTGGGAAATGGTGAACACGGCCTGTGCCAAGAACATCTTGGACAATTGAGTAGCAACCTCGAAGAAGGGAGGTAATAAAAAGCCTAGTGCCCCGCCAAAAGAGGAGGTTTAATTGTCTGTACTACCATCAAGTTAGGGGAGGGCAAAGTTGGCAACATGGGCTGCCTGCAAGGAATAAGAAGGGTTTCAGGACTGATATTTGTTGTGTTTACCATGTGCCGGTCTGCTTCCTCAATGAGCTGGTGTGGGCGTGCTTGGCCCCCTTGGGGCCAGAGAGCTGCAAAGCTTCCCTGAGTTTGTGTTTATATCTATGTACTCTAAAGGGGACCCGGTCTGTTAACTGTATCAATAAGAATTCACTATAACGAATTTTTTTGCTGTCAGTTACTCCTGTTCAATCGAAGATGTCTCTCAGTTGCGCGTAAAGCTCTTCGAACTTGGGCTATTAGAATAGGAAGAGGCGGAACTTATGTCATAAGAGCTAAATTTAAACGTTTCTGCAACCCATAGAAGACACTCGGGACCATATGGACGGCGAGTTGTCAGGGGGTTCTTGGTACAGAGTGAAAAGGTCAACGTGAGGAGATGCAAAGATGGGTATGAATGGGTGACCGCATTCCACCCCGGCCTTCTCCCAGTTTACTGCTGAGCATCTGGCCCTCTTATCAGTGAGCACCGGTGACCTAGCGGTCCGGTACCGGTGCCTAGCACTATATCCTAGGTCTTCCAAGACACTGACCCGCTAACCCCCTGATATCCCTTTCTCTCTGTGATGCGAGTGTGCAGGAATAGTCAATACGCAGGCAACATCAGCGTCTCTACTTCTGTAAGGAACATCATAGATCTGAACCTCTTCTAACCTTACCCAGTTAATCTTATATAGTAGGGAGTCGTATAAGCTCCAGCCTTCCCTGCTGTCCGATAACATGCAAGGGGGCAAAGCGTTGGGAAAAGTCTGCTTCTAACCTCCAGAGTTCTGTTGTCCTTCAAAATGACTAAAGAAGAAACAAATATAGTGAAAATACTAGAAACACGCCAGAAAGTACGAGTGCGGGTTAAGTAAATATTTGGTACACCGAATAGGTCCTCCTGACCCATTCTTTATCTTTGTCTGAGGTAGTGTATGCTTTTCCATCTCCGAGTTTCATGAGGAAGAAGCAGGCAATCATCGTTATATCTAAATATCATGTTTCAGACAGCGAGTTTCAGGGTTTCTTCCGGCTGTAATGGGTGGTACCCAGGGCGAGAGGGCCGGTTAAATGTCGCAGCTAAACCATTGTGGTAAACCCGGGCCATAAAACATTTGTATGGACTGTAATGGGGTGTAAATGATATCAACTGTAAAGCCACTTACCTTTCATTCGTACAGACTTCAAGAAATCTCTCCAGGAAATACTGTATCAGGGGTTAAAATATCCCTAAGCTAACTGAAGTACTGCTGGCCAGACTGAGAAAGCCACGTCTCTGCATAACTTACGTCGCAAATTACCCTCCCTCCACTGATGAATCATTCTCATAGCTCTCTGATTACATGAATGATAGCACAAGCCCCCCACAGCGTCGTCCGGCACAACTAAGGCAGAGAAGCACATCATAGTCCCCATGCTCAGGCTCTTCAGTAAACCAGACGAGAGCTCCATTCTCTACCTCCATACACCCCACTCCCTTCTGAAAGGAAAGAACAAGAGTCCTAACCTTCGGTCTTTACACGCAGTAGTCCATCCCAGGGGTACAGAAGCAATATGTAACAAACATCACCAGGCTAGGCCTGTACAGTGGACGATGCAATCGGCCGCAGCATTGTCTCCACCTCCTTGGGCGAAATCTGCTCCTGGATCACACGACACCGTCTCTTCAAGGAGGTCAAGGAAAGATCCTGGTCTCGCAAATAATATCCCATAAGATTGTCTGGGGTGTTCCTCTTCGAATGCGAGCTCAAAACCCCTACGGGCTTATGCTGAAAAGAGCAGAGGTTTGTTGCGACGCAGCGCAAGGGCTTTCAACCGAGACGATGAACAGGGGGCCTGTATTTCAGAGACCAGAGTACGACATAGGTCTAGGTGTGGGAGTTGTTGTCAAATGATTGAGGTCGTGATGTAGAGCTGGAGGCGTTCTTAGTTTCTATTTGAGAGTGGCCAAATAAGATAACGCTTGGTAATTGGTTTTCAGGCGGGACACCAGGTTTTGTAAAAGATGGGAGACAACTCGTTGAATATTGCAGAGAAGTGTATAGGTTTTCAGTGATACATACCGGTATGGAGTAAATAAGAAGATGGTCGTGGTGTGAATTTGGGGGGGAAGACTCCATGAACTGGGAAAAAAATCACCAGCATAAGACATACAACACCGGGAATTCAACCGGTCGTCACGAACCCAACTACTACTTCAGCCTTCAGTAGCGTATCTATAGGAGAGCGAACGGGATCCTGAATCTTCTGGTAGGTATGGTCGTATGTAGGAGACCGTAAGGCAAATTTTGTCCAAGACGGCACATGGTGACGTGAGCCGACTGACGCCGTGTGCGCTGATGGGCTGTGACGGCTTCTTTTGACAGGTTTAACTAATTTATTATTATAGTGTCTGTGGTATTTAGCGTATGACCTCTTTACTCCTCAGCTTCTAGGTATGCTCTTGCTACGTTCCGTTTAAGATGTCTGCTGCAGTCAGGAGGCCCCAAGTTACGTAGCGGAAAGTTCTCTGCCTGGAGATAAGCAAGCTTTATATTAAGGCTAAGAGGTATACTAGTCAGCATTGCAAACGGACAAGTGTTATAGAAGGATGTAGAAAAGTATTTTTTTTAGTCTACTAATAATTGTTTTTAAAGAAATATTAAAGTAGCGCTATTGCTACACTAAAATTCTCATTCCTCCGGGTCGTTAATGCTGGTAAACTTGATGCTAGTTCTTTTTGCTCCGTTGAAAAGAAAACCTACGTGCTCTCATAAGCCTCCAGCGTCTTACATAAAATACACAAAGCCCGTTCCACCTTCACGTACTCTCGTCCTAGGTGTCAAATCATTAAGATTGACCTTGTGATTAGCCTGTCCTTCGCCTTTGGAAAGGGACCGCGCTCAGTTGTCATCTTCTCAGTACGCCAGGTTCAGTATTCTCAGGTGTGTCTTATAGGAGTCAACAGGGTAAGTGGCCCTCTAAGTACAAACTCTGTCACCATGTTGCGCGCGTCGTCAACAGTCTGCTTGTCATCATCTTCCCAGGGACCCTCATATCGTTAAACGAAAGGCCTGATTACCTGGAGCATTGTAGTCATCGTGGAGGATCTTTGATACATAGTGGCGTTCTTTCTCTCATCCCCAAGCTGCCTCGCCAAGATCACATCCGGCATGGCTGGAGCCTCGTACTCAGAGACTTGGTCCTAAGGCCCGTGCAGGTGTGACGTAGTGGTGGCCGCAGCCATTAGGAACATAACGAGAGGAACATTGAAAGCCAGAGGGTGTGCAAACAGAGCCAAATGGGACGAACCAGAGAAATTCCATTATCAAGGAAAACCCCCCATCCGTCTGGCTAGCCGGCCAGCATTCGTGTGACTCAGGCTCCAACTTCCAAATCCTCAGCTTATTTCTCAGAATTGTCACAATTTTGTCGTATGCTCAGCACAAACACCTATAGACAAGACAAACCTTGTGCTTCCCTTCCTCTTGCTTATCCTTAACCTGTGTCATCCGCAAAAGTGCAAACATCTCCTGCAGTTTCATGTCACTAGGAAGAAGTTAAAGCTTGACACAGCTGGCAATTTCTGGAGCGATCTGTACTTGAAGGGTCTGAACGCTTAAAGTCAGCACTCATAACACGCTCCACGTCTTTGCTCTCACTATTGTCTTTTATTGGTTTTTTATCTTGTTTCTTCCAAGATAACCATGCCGCTAGTTACGCTGTCCGATAAAGAACCCCACGGCTCGCCAGCTGTGTTGGGCTTAGATCCCAGCAATCTCTATCACCTCTCTTCCAAGATACAAGTGAAAAATTCAACTTGTTGTTCTGTTGTGTGCACCGACCTAGTGGCTATCTGCACACTTCCGGTCATTATGAAACGCAACCCACAAGCTACATCATACAACTGGTCAGTCAGTCGCTCAGCCGCCGCGTTTGATCTTTATTACAACCTTCTTTTTGAACAACAGCTCCCTCTTCTTTACTTTTCTGTACCCTTGATTCTATCCGGTCTTTTGTTTTAGTTTGCACAGAATGACGTACCAAGCCCTCAACCTGCTCCCTCGATCCATCTGCGGATGCGTAACCCTAACCCTAACCATTCCACGCATCATAAGCACCGCCACGCCTCCTAACTTTACCACCGGCCAAGACGGTGCCTCATCCAACACTACCAACAAAAGCTCCGGAACAGATCATACCAGGGCACAAGTTGCGGTCGTAACAAAGACAAGAATAGCGACCCGCTTGCAAGTAAACGGAGGCAGAGATTGAATCAAAATTCGACTCGGGGATGGGGCCTCGGAAACGCAGCCGATTAAGCCGCGTCTCCATCTAACCTGGGAACCAGTCGCCCGTCGCCGTATTCGGCTTTGTTTCCGATATTCATCTGCAAAGTTGCCATCGTTGCCTTTGTTGCCCTCGCTCCCTCAAGCGCGACTGCAACAGAAGTCTCCCGGGTCGATCCCATTCCGACCAAAACGAGGCGATGGGTGACGCTGCCCCCCTGACGAGGCCGATAACAAAGTCAACGAAGAAGCCGATGACGAGGACGAGGACGATGACGAGGACGAGATGGTGCAACGTTGGTAATGCATCGTCCAGTTGTGACACTTGAATGATGACGGGGGCAACCTGTCGCTTGCAGCTGCGGTAGGTATACTGACTGACTTGAGCGCGCCCATTGACTCCATCCGACGGTGCCGACGGGCGGTACCCTGGGACTGCGTCAAATATGCCACCTTATACGTTACGCGTCATAAGAAGCGGACAAAGTCACGGCATGTGAGGCTGCAGTTACCAAGGTTCGCGAGAAGTAAACTTTGAAGCAGTCTGCCCCTGATATTTTTGGAATCCAACCTTGACTTACATCCTGAATTTTAAAACAATGAGCTAAGCATGCCTTCATCAACACATGATGATACATGTCTTTGTAGCTCAGCCGATAGAACAGCAGTCTTGTGGTATTCTTAGTGTGGTGATGGTAGCTTGTCAGGGGTCAAAACGTAGCGCCGGCAGGGCCTACTGGAACGGAACATCGTTAGTCTGAAGAGGCATTAAAGGGGGTCAGAATCAATTGTAATAAGTAATATAGAGAGGGCAGATTTAAAGACTAGTTGAAATCAACTCCTAAGTGCAGCCTTTTGTTAACTTCAGTACTCTGTGCGATCCCAGCCTCTGACATAGCTCAAGGCCATCAGTTCAAGTCTGACCTAAGACAACTTCTTTTTTGTTTTTGCTGCCCTCTACTATTTGACTTCTTGCCTTTTCATTTGACAATATCGTCTTTTTGGGCCACCCTCTTGTGTCCGTCAACGTCTCCCTCGCCATCCTCGCCATGCTCCTAAAGAGGCTATCCTCTTAATGGTTCGCGGCACAGCTTGCTCCCATCGTTTCAAATTGGAAAAGGATCTACATTAATGCAGTGGTCATATATGTGCAGCTTCTGGATGACTAAGTGCCAGTAACAGAGCTCAAACAGCACGTTGTATTGAGCATATCGCCACGTCAGAGCAGTATGCTGCGGGAAGTGATCCTCCAATGCAAGCCCTTCACCATCAGTGCTTTATCTCTGCAGTAGACAGAGTATTCTTGAACTACTGGCATTTACCGCGTTACTTTCCGCCATTCGTAACAGAGTGATTAGGAAATGGCGTGTAACCAATCAATCTTGACTGCACACGCACTCACCCTCTGGAACCGCTTCCTGGTGACACTGGATGACAATGCAGCCGAGCAGCTTTCTCTTACCTGCACCCTCAACCGGTACGAGAAGATGCTAGCAAGTTCCAATCCCAAGGACTTGCACATTTCATCGCACCGCAACACCGGAGGTAGTGGGGGCGCAGTCGGATGATATCGCCGAGACGGACAGACTCAAGGGGACTTCATGGAGGAGCAGCATGCGGCTGAAGTTTTGCAAGCCTGGATTATGAGACGATGGCAAGACCAAGTAAGAAGACGATTAGCATTTCACCATCAATTAGCCTTTTCGTTCAAACTATGATGCTGCGCAGGAGTTCAACACAAGGCCTAGTCAGGCTAGAGCCATGGCGAGGGTCTCATCTCCCTGGTTCAGCCGACGTCAATAGCAGACACGTGCAGGAGATCTGCAAATGTATGCTGCCAACCTACACCGGGAAATCATCCCTCAGTCAAAGGCCTGCTCCACCGTTGTACGATGCCATGCCGGCTCAGGCTCGCACGCTAGAGCTAGCCGCACGTCCGTAGGAAAGCATGTCAGGGTAGGTTAACAGCCGCCGCCGCGTCAGCCACTTGTCGAAAGCCCGAAATTGGAAGCGCACGCCTGGAAAGGGAGGGGCATGATGAGCTGAGATAAGACCGTCGTCTCTGCCAGAGAAACCTCTCCAAGGGCCCTGCTCTGCCTGCACCGCGAATGGCGGATGGTATAATCCCAAATCGCCGACTGGAGAATGATAGAGACGCGTCTGGACGCCCATGGTCTCTTGAAAGTTGGCACAGTGCTCAGCTGCTTTTTGCCTTGTCTTGGTGGTAAAAACGGTCGTGATCGGCACCATCGGAGGTGCTTAGCGAGGGCAATGCTTGACTTGGTGAGTTAGTTATGGCAAACAGAGAAACAAAAAGGAATAGATAAGCTGGATGATATACTGCAAATGGTCCAGTGCCGTTGGAACCTTCTGGACGATGCTGAGCAGTATATCGCTTATCTTAGAAGCCAACCCGACCTAAGCCCGGCCATGATCCCAGTAGTTCTTCATAATGCAGTGAGCGGGCAGCCAGTTGGAGATTAAAGATGCTTCTCAGGTGGAAATTTCAGGTAACAAGGAGTTCAACCCCAGTTTATGGCAAAATATTGCAAGCAAAAGGCTGTGCTAGAGAAGATGGGGCGAGGGGAGGAGAGGATGGACTGATTGGTTCAGGTTAACCTATCTTGGACGAACTAGAGAGCTACATAAGTGCGGGCATGGTGTGGCGCCGCCTTTGCTTCCAAAAGTTGCTTCATCCCGGAGCGAAGCGACTGAAGTGGAGGCGAAGCCGGGACAGGATTGTCGACTCTTATTTTCGATTCAGTGTTGGGGGTAGCAGAAAAGCCCATAGTGTGGGCGAGAGAAGATGCAGGCAGCGAGTATGACAGGTATCTCAGAGAGATAACGATAGTGTCTTATCTACCCTAGAGAATCGGTCACTGTTGAACATTTTTATTTGTTCTGTTGATTCTTGGTCAGCCTGCTTTTTGATGCTAATCCAACCGGCGATGTCTTTTTTTTTTTTTGCCCCCGTCTCTTCAGCAACAATAGTAACTCCAAACAAATGTTTCACATCCCACTGCCAGACGACCAACCTCTGTGGCATTAGAGCGGAGTTTAACGTGTCGGTTATGTCAGCCCTTGTTGCATTCTTTCTGCGGTCATTTTGGCTGCATTCTGAGGAACGGGGCCATATCTTGCCCTGTTCCAGGCCTTTCACTCTTTAATGCTAGTTGCAAACTCCTGTTCCAGCTTCTTCCTATGTCCCTCATCAAAATTCCATCTCAGGCCGTGCCTCCACCGTAAGGTTCAAGGGACAAACCCATACCTTACAAGCAGCTTTATGCTGTACATCTCACAGCCGTATGGCTTGCTCGTGTCAGAGGCGTCTGATTTTACTGGCCGGGAAAACTTCGATCCTGGAACTGGATCTTCCTGAAAACGTCCCCAGAAAAGGGCCGCGTAACCCATCCATCAAACCCATCAGCCTTCCGGGCATATAAATAACAATAAGCCTCTCAACAGACCGAGAACCAGCATCACACCAACAAGACGCCGTACAACTTCCAGCACGGAAAAGCAGTCCAGCCCCCAGATAGCGTTCCAAACTGCCTCCGCACCATTCTCACGCGTTGCTCTCGTTTACATGCTGCAGACGCACATATAACAAGTTTTTAGCCCACAATTGACGTCACAGCCCATTCCCACCCAGCCAAACAGGGCGGCATGCCCAGAAAGAGGCCGCTAAAGCCGGCTGGAAACAGGATCACAGCTCGTCAGAGAACACCCCGCCATCCCGTTTAGCCAACAGTCTATAACTGCACGCAAAGACCAGCACCAAGGCCATCTTCAGTTCCATGTGGAAGCTCTGTTAGGGGATCTTATCGCAAGTCTCATCCTGTTCGTCCTAGTAGTGCGGGACTCGGAAGCCGACTTGCGGGCCAGAATTGCGTCCGTAGGAAACTAGCTATATGCAAGCCGGAGCCGCCAACGATCCCCGCAGAGCCCTCCACTGGAACCGACTTCCGCCACAGGCTGAGACTTAAGCGCCTACTAATCATTATCTCCATAGATAACACCGCAGTCATTTCAGTGACTTCGCCCGGCTGTAGAAGCGCCTCAAAGCGTTCGCGCACGTGTTGGTCAATGCGGGATAATGGGGGACCATTGCCGACTGGATGTCCTGCATTGCTCAAAAGTGCTTCAAGGGCATGGAGTGTGCCCGTCGACACGGTAGGAGGGGAGCTCATGAAACCTGCAAAGGTGGCCGGGAAGGCAGCAGAAATTGTGTAACAAGCTGCTGAACGGCAGCATAGACTGGTATAACGTCACGGCGCCTGTATCTAACTTAGGCCTATATTACTACGCCCCATTGAAGAGGGCCACCAGGCATGAGGCGTCTCTGCTCTCGGGCGAGCCGTCGATTGAAGGCCTTGCGGGTTTAATAGAGATAGCAATTGGGGCGGTAGTCATCTTGTGAGTGGGTAGTAAGCTGGCTTTAGTTGGGCTTCTTGAATGCCCAATGGGATAAGAGAGACGCTGAGAAAGAAGGTCGTCTACTTGGGGAAGCAGATGCTACTGATCTGGCTGGCTAAGACATTTCTAGTATATCTGAGTTACTGTAGGTAAAGTATGTTACGTAACACGCGTCGGAGTGGGCTGATGAGAGCACACGGATATCTGCAGCCCAGCTGGAGATATCCTCTCAACCACCCAGCCCACACTTTGCTTTGTGTTCTACACACAACAACAGTACAACAAGCACTATCACCACCACGAGTTAGGTAATTATTGCTACCCATACTTCTCAGGTACCCCCTTCTCCACCTGTGAATCAAACACTTACCTCGGCAGAAGGTTGGTTTGATCTTCCCCTCGTTAGCCGGGAGTTAAGAAGGCCGGCTTGCGAACGCCACCGCATGACGAGGCAAAGCAGGTGCTCTGCACAAGCCCCACTGGTGGACTTGATGTTGCTGACATATGGCAGTCACAATACAAGCAGACCAAGAAAGTAGGAGACGGCGGGACAGGGCCGGACTCGAGGGCGGTACCGCACGGCGCCAGTCCAGTAGTCGTGGAAGATGCAGTGAACGGCAACAGGTACTATTTAAACTCCCCAATGGCTTTTATATGAATATGAATACTAAAGTAACGAAACTTACAGGCAAACGGGGCTTTGTTGAAACCCTCAAAGAACCTGTGGGACAACCACAAAGCTAAAGAAACAAAGTTACCAACAACATCGTAGGGCCAAGCGTACGAAAGGACCAAGTCACGTCAATCAGCAAGCGTTAAGGGACAAGTTGGATAGGTAAAATAGCCCGTCGCTTCTTCAGCTGATGTCATACCGATTCGAGTCCACAAGACACCAAGACAGCCTTTTGAGAACAGCTAGACCCAAAGCCGCTTGGCACGGCTGCCTACATTGCAAGACGCCTCAGAACGAAGTTATTCTCTCAGTTGTTTAGTTCAAGGCCAGCTCAATGGCCCCGGACGGTCACACAAATTCTGATAAATAGTCCATGGGACCGCAGAACCTGTTCAACTATGGTCTAACGAAGCGCGCTTGGCAACGCTTTCAATCTCTTATGGCTTTCTTTTAAGGCTGTATCTAAACCACTTCGAGAGGTTTAGATACAAGGTTTCATAGTATGAAATAAGTATGTCACAGGCCAAGCACGTTTGAAGCTTGTAGCAGCTCCTAGCAATCAAATGTCCCCCACTGTCACAATGTTGCAAAACCGGACAGTTGTCTTATCACCGTGCTCTACAGTTGGCTCAAAGCCGTGCAGTCCGCGGCGATCAGGTTTGCGACACCCAGCTGGGGAAATACCCCTCACCTAAGAAAACGGCACAAGTCATTAGGTGGAACAATGAAGGAAGATGGCGTTTTTCTTTTCTTTGCAGGGGCCTTCAACAATCAAAGGGCAAGACAAAAGGTGACATAGAGCTGGATTGCAGAAGGGGGTATTAAGATAGAAATTAAGTGCAA